AAGTTCCAGTACTGTACCATGAACACTTTCAGAGATATGCAGTATGAAATGCGGCTTCCAAATTGTTGACTATATATTAAAAAATAATACCAGGAAATGCTAGCTCGACTCTCAAACCCGCTGTGAGAGAGCACTGAGCAGAGCGGCATACGCGAGAAGTGGAATCACATTTCCCGCTTATTAGTGGTACGAGAAGGAGTGCCAAGAAGCGCAGATAAAAAAGGTGCCGCCCACAGGGCCGCGCTGCGATCGGGCGCAACGCGAGTCATGTGGAACCGTTATAGGGACTGAAGAAGGAAGCTAGACGTATTTGGCACAATATGAAGAGAGTGGTCGAAATAAACACCCGAAATTTTTAGTAGAGTGTTGAGCGATGTGGTGACCGATGTCCGGAACGTACTCCAATTATGGAGGGAGCACTTTTCGTCCATTTTGAATGGCAGCAACACTGACGGAGGTGGAGAAGACGAACCCGAGCCCGTGGTCGATGACGATGGAGTCGATATCCCAGCGCCTGACTATGACGAGGTACGAATAGCGATTATGCTGATGAAAAGTGACAAAGCTGCTAGAGCTGACGGCCTGTCAGCCGAGCTATTCAATTACGATGGCAAGGAGCTAATAAGGTACATGCCCGACGACTGGAATTCAAGTGCGCTCTGCCCAATCCACAAGAAAGGGGACCCTGCCATGCGTGCCAACTATTTTATTGAGCGTGTGGTGTGAAAGACTGAAGCCCTCCGTCAATGAACTGATTGCGCCTTACTAGCGTGGCTTCAGATCAGAATAGAGGAGGAGTAATCCGAGCCGTTTGATACCAGTCGAGGTTTCAGACAAGGTGACTTTTTTTCATGTGGTTTCTTTAATCTGACGTTGGAGAAGATAATAAGAGTCGCAGAACTGAACTTCTTAGGCAAAAAACTTTAAAATAGCGTACAATTTCTGGCGTACGCCGACGACATCGACATTATTGTTACAAATAAGGGTTACGTCTGTTACAAATAAGGGTTGCGTCTGTTCTAAAAGCATTCAAAACGGGTCGCGATGGTGAAGAGGAAGGCCCACTGCGATGGAAGGACCAAGTGGATAAGGACTTGGCTTCACTTGGCATTTCCAAATAGGCGTCAGTTTGCACAGAAGAGAATCGGCTTGCGTACTGTTTTGGACTCGGCCAAAATCACGTAGGCGGTTATAGCGCCAAATAATAAGAAGAAAAACTTTGTGTATCCCAGATGTATTTGCTCAAGCCAGGAATGGTCTAGACCCATCAGCAATGTATGTCTTTCACCACACATCACTTTAACGGAAACGCCACTTTTTAGTTTTTCCAGAATACTGGTAAGTCAAAGGAAGGCAAACAATTCAAATTTTGTGTGTATGGCATGCACACACAAAGAATATTGTAGGTATTGAGGTTAAATTGTTTTGAAGTTGCTTTGAGAGACTTGGATTAATCAAGGAATTGCACGTATTGAGGGTTGCGGTTACCATGCACGCACTGTAAAAATTTTTCATAGGATAAACAGAAATTAAGTTACGCTCAACCTATGAAAAGCTTGTTTTTAGACCTTAAGTCCAGATTTGAGGGGGTATTCAAAATTCTAAGTATGCATATTTTTTGTGCTTCAATAGATCTATAACTTTAGCAGTCACACAGTGTTATAATACCGATGAAATCCTTGACGGTGGTGCCGGGAAGGGAACGGTAAATGACGGTTTGGGTTAAAGTCTCACACTGACGGGGTTAGGCTTTCGATGCTTCCTCCTCGTAGAATAAACATGCGCAGTAAAAAGTTAACTATTCAAATCGACAAACAGTTGTATATCAACTTTTGTGAACATCTGTTTATGTGTTTTTGTACAACAAACCTCTATTGTAGAGTTGGGTAGTTCACGAACTAGTTCGTTCATTGAACTAGTTCATCAAGAAGAGTGAACGACCTAGTTCGAAATTTAGAATGAACTAAAAATGAACTATTTTTTCAGCCTTGCTTCTCATCCAAATTTGCCAGCTCTTTAACACTTTAGTTTATGTGTTGCCAAACTTTAAATATCTTTAGAAGCAACAATACTCGTGTGATTTTTCTAAAAAATTACTAAAGAGAGAATTGTGGTAGCTCTGTTTTTATTGCGCCATTTGTAGGCGGTTGGCGCGTTAATCCTGCTTTGGTTCTATGTGAATTACCTACAAAAAGGATCCTTTCTAGCAACAAAACTCAGTTTGTCACAACAAAAAAGGCTTAAGGCGCTGGCCCAATGCAGGCTTGCTTTGCTCGCCTTGCTTAAGGTATTGGCCCAATGCAGGCTTACTTTGCTTGCCTCGCTTTGAGAACTGTCAAAAGTTATTTGGAATATACTAAAATGTATGAAGGCTGACCAAATGGCAGCTTTGCTTTACTTGCTTTAAGCGCCTCAAAGTTTCAAATAGCAAATGTTTTATTTGAAAGCGTTTCGTAGGCTTTTGACAAAAAGGTATGTTCCCGTTCTAAATCAATTCAAATAAACTGCTGCACACTTTTATGTACACAATTTTTTTTACGTAATTAAAAATAATATATATAATATAAGTTATTCAAAGTTTAATAAAAATGATTAAATGTTTCCATATTTATATTTAACATATCGCTGGCTGAAAAGTTGCTA